GATTGGTGAAGACACAGCAGGCTAAGAGAGTATATCCTGCAGTGAACTGCAGTGGGTGAATTAGCAACAGCGATATAGTTACTTATAGTTACGATCTCAACCAACTCCATACATGCGACAATATTAATTGGAACAAAATAGCTGTATCTTATGACTTCATTAATTTGAAGTGTTAATAAAATGTACAAGATTGATAATTTCATGAAAATTACTTATTGGTTTCACTTGAACCCACCACAGTAGCCGCGCCCGCTCAAACATGAAGGGTTTGAATTCCAGTCGAGGCGAGAATGTCTGTCTGCGTTTATTGCGTTTGTGTGGTCTTGTGTAGATAGCGGCCTTGCGGCAGAGTTGGTCTGCCGTCCAAGGAGTCCTGCTGACTGTCTATAAGTTTCAAATTTCAGAATTAATTTATTCTAAGGTGGCACAGTCCAGAAAGCCTAATCCGTCTATGCAGTAAAAGAGGTCTCTTTCATAATTGAGATATACGTGTACGTACTATATTACAAAGATAAAAACAACACCGTCCAGTGTGACTATTTAAGTTTTATTACTTTTATCCATATCTTTGTAATTGTTAGTGTGACGGTCCAGAATGAAACAAATCAAATATATATATACACACTATATCGTTACGTGTTGGGTATGTCACGCTACAAATAACTTCACGCCGTGTCGAATATAGCGAATTTATTGCACACTCGATCTCGCACTCACACAATTCACAACTACAATTACTGCCATCGGCAGTATCACAATTACATCCACTGCTCTCGGCTACTGCTAGACTTCCGCTGCACTCGGCGACTTCACGATCCGCACTGTGTCACTCCTGATCACACACTCACACACTGCTCAGCCGGCTTTTTATGCCGTTCCCTTTTGCCTGTGTCCACAGCGGTATCCCATGTTACGTAATAGCGGCGGAGGGGGGCGGAGCGTTTGAGTATCCCCTCCCCTCTTAACCTAACTAGAACGGGGTGAAGTTGCTTTCGTCCCTGGTTCCTTTACGTTGTTTCGCAATGCCTTTATCCCCAAGATAGAGTGGGGTGTCCAAGCTATAGGACTTGACCGACGATAACCAGAAAAATCACCAGATAAAACAATATTCATACTTAATATAAGCCAGGTGGCACAAAATCATAATGAAAGCTCCGTCTAGTATCGACGTTAGCAGAATATTTTAAAACTTGATTTGAACTGATGGAAATTTTTAGGCGTGGAGGATTGACATTTTTCTTTTGCAATTTTCCGCTTCGTTTCAATGTCTTATTGGTAGACTTGTGTTTCATCATCTGTGATGATATGGCCAAAAGTGTCATCTTGCATCCCCATAAGGTCTTGGCAAATTTCGACTCTTCTTTGCTTTTGTTCTTCAGTGAGTTATTTCGAGACATTTTTACGTACACCTTACTCATGTCAAGATCTTCAGTTACGATTTTCCTGTTTCTCCATCGATGTTCCTTGCGATGGTATTCTCCTGACAGTCAGCAGACAATTTTAGGCGCAATTTGACGAACTTTTATTCCACTGCTGAACGGGAAGTACACGGTAGCTAGTTCGCGGACTTTATTGTCAGACCTCGTAACCTGCATTCCTTTCCTCTACCCCCAAAGGTGTCTCTGTTGTTGTATACTTTAAGTTGGCCTAATTATGTCAAGATCATTATCTTCAGTTTCAACAACGTTTTTATAAACGCCATACCAGTACAAGCTATCTCTAATTCAAACCGTCTAGTTGTCCAGCTTCAAAAACCTAAAAGCAAGTAAGGACGCGTCTTAACTGAAGTGGGATCACTCTTTAATGAGTCACGGATTAGTGAATAGAAACAATTCGGTTCAATAATTGAATTCATTGGATCCTTATTTCTCGAAACTAAAAATAACTTCAACAATTTCACTAGTCTGCACAAACTAGAAATACTCCAATAAATTTGAAGTCTTTAGAGCCTGCTGTGTCTTCATGAACTCGTTGTTCGGAAACGGCTTCACATAACTAGAATTCTCTCTCCTGCTTCGGTGCTCTATGGCTGCATCAAGGTAAATTTGTCTGGTACATTTCTGCAGGTCTTCGTTAGCACAGTCAGTTTTCGTTCCGGGTTCCGCGGGTCTCGTGATATTGTTTCTGTTTCGCAGCTCTGAATGAGTCGTGATATTATCTCCATATTTCTTACAGTGTTGAAGAAAGTAATAAGCTGCTGCTGCCCTTCGCGAGCACAGATTTCTTGATTTCGGATAACATCGGGATAGCTGACCAAATTTCGGCTGTTCTTTTCGCATTCATTTCCTCTGAAACATGTGATGACAACCCGTTGCCTAGCAATGAACGTCTCTGCGGCTTCCCTCTTGTCCCAAGATTCCGACATTACGCACCATATCACAATGCCCTCTTTTTAGGAACTAGCTATTTGTTAAGTCGTCAGCTTGTCCAGATATACTAACAAGTCTCTGTGTCATTGTGGATCGGAAATATAGCATTTACGTGCGTAATTCTATTTGCTTACGCCGAATTTTCTTATTCAGACAACATGGCACAGTATTTTTAGGTGCAATCGATATATTGGCTTTGTTCTCAGCAGCTCTCCGAACGTCCCTTGGTATTTTGTTTGCTTATTACAACCACCACATAGGGTAGAAATTTTAGTACCTTGGTTAGGGGTTTATTTAGTTGGTTTGTTTCGTTTCGTTTTTTTTTTTTTGCTCCAGCTCTTCCACTCCTCTGTCTTTTTCAGTTTTCATGGCCAAATATATCCTTGTGCTTCCCCCTTGATCGATCCCTGGTCTTACGAATGAAATCACTTGCGTTAGGCAAACCCATGACAACACAGACCGACAGAGCTATTCTGCATGCAATCATATTACTCGCTTCAAACCATTCATTAGAGTTTTCGTCGTAGTATTCTACTTCATGTTTGGTGGTGGAACGGCTGAACCCTCCGATGGCGAAGATCTTGTCTTCAACCACTTCAATACCGAATTTACTGCGGGATCTACGCATATGAGAGATAAGCGTCCATGTCCCCGTTATGGGATTGTACTTCTCGCCACTAGACCTGCGAATCCTACCGTCCAGGCCTCCTATGGCGTACACGTGCCCATGGTAGCCGATGCAGGAAAGGCCGCTACGTCTGAAATTCATGGCCGGAATAAAGATCCATTGGTTGGTCTTTGGGTCGTATACCTCTGCTGATTTCATACAATCCCCACCGTTCAATCCACCAACGACGTAGATCTTGCCGTTCAGCGTGGCTGCACTGGCATCGGAGCGCCGTACATTCATGGGCGCTATGAAGGACCACTGGTTCTTCTGGTAGTCATAACGCTCAGCTGTTCTCTGGAGGCGGATGCCGTCATAGCCACCCATAGCGTACACTACGTCTTCCAACACTGTCACGCTCAGGTAGCACCTGGGTGTGTTCATGGGTGACACCTCGCACCACGTTTTCTCCACAGCGTTGAAGCATCGACACGAACTCAAATAATCCTGGCCGTTGTAGCCTCCGATCACGTAAATGTTGAAACCGATCACTGCCGTGCCATGGAATGCTCGCGGACCGGCCGGGTCAACCGCTTCTACTTCAAACCATCGGTCTGCTCGTGC